ATTATTATTATTATTATTATTATTATTATTATTATTACTATTATTATTATTATTATTATTATTTTTATTCTTATTCTTATTATTATTATTACTACTACTACTACTACTACTACTACTACTACTACTACTACTATTACTACTACTACTACTACTACTACTACTACTACTACTACTACTATTACTATTATATTATTGTATTATTTATGGATACATAAGTTATTTATTATTATTCTGCATTCCAATTTACTAACAAAGGGAACCTCAGGTTTGATTATCACCAATTTTAATTAAATTTGGCACATTAATAGTCTATATGTACAACTATCATAACCATAATTTTAATTTCAAATAATCAACTTATAAGTAAAATGCATATAATGTTTGGAATATTGTGTAGTCCATTACATTTGAATAATACAGCATTTTATTTGATAAGAATCATCATATTGTAATCATTTTAGATTCTTTCATCTTGAATTCAAATTCTGTTACAAATTATTACAAATACAAAAAATAATATTAAATATTAAAATTATTAAAAATAGATTATTTTCCACAATTTTTTAAAGTTCTTTATTTGATTTATATAATAAATAATTATTTTTTTTATTAATATATTAATATTATTGCTTATATTATTATAAATTTATATATATAATTCATTTCAAATGCTATTTCTGATTGACATTGATGTAGAATGTTTTTATTTGTTTTTTATTCTCTCGTGTAAAATTTTATATTTTCTATCGAATAATAAATTTATAAGAGAATGTTTAATTTCAAAATTTATTGTTATTATTATTAATTTAGTATTAATAAATTAATAATAAATTTTATGATTTTTTTCTTTGTTTTAATCTTAAATTTCTTTATTTTAGACGATTTAGTTTCAGTATTAAGAAAATGAGAGAATGAAAAAATACGAACTGCAAATATTTCAATAATATGTAAATATTAAATAGATTAAAAAATTAATATACGTTTGTAATTTGAGATATAAGATTTTTTTCTATACTTCAATTATAAATTCTACACATTTGATAATAGCATAAAAATAGAATAGGATTATCTTGTTTTATATGAACAGTAATAATAAAAATTATAGTATAGTATAGTATTTTATATATATAGTATAGTAATTTATAATATAGTATAATATAGTAAAAGGAAATATATAGATGAAGATTTAATTATATCTTTTTAATTATATTTATATTAGTATATAGATATAGTTATATATATATAGATTATTCAGAAATTTGATCAATCGTATTTTTTTGAAATTTTTTTATGTGTATGTGAATGTATGATATCCATCTTTTTAAAGAAAAAATGATATACTTCTTAGAAATGATTCAATTATATATTATTCTATATATTTAATTATATATTAGTTCTAAATAATAATTTAAAATAGATATAAGTATTAGTATTAATATACGATTCAATATATAAATATTATAAATATTAATAATAATAATTATAAATATTAAAAATTATCGAAAAAATTATTTTTATTTTATTTTTATTTTTATTTTAATTCATTAATTTTTTTTTGTAAAAATCTTAATTCAAAATATTTTATCTATATAGAAAAATAAAATTAAGGAATATATAATTAAAAAAATATGTTTTACAATCATCTTATGTTTAGACAAAGTATATATATCGATATATTAAAATTTATAAATTTATTGATTATAAAATCAATATTTACTCATACTTTATGAATATTTTATTTTTATTTACTTTATGAATATATAGTTCTTCATATAAGGTAATATATAAGGTAAATAAAGATATATAAGATTTAATATATATAAGGTAAGATTTAATATATAAGGTAAATCATTAGATATCACCATCTCAATTTTATGCTATTGTTATTTTTGATAGCAAAAAATTTTTCAAATAAAGTTGATTTCAAAAAAGGATATATATTCTGATTATTAGTTTTTTAACAAGTGAACTCATAGAGAATATATGAATATATAATTATTAAATGGAATCATATATTTTACATCAATTAATACAACTCGATATTTTCAACAAAAAAATTTATTTACCTAAAAATCATTATTATTTGAAATTTATAAAATTTATCATATGAAAAATAAAAACAATAGAGTATCATATGTTCCTTGTCTTTTATACGATAAATTTTATTAACTATATATATTTTATAAATACAAACTATATAGTATTTGCAAAACGTCAGTAATTTTATGATGTAAATTTATCTATATTTAATATTATAAAATATATTTGATATAAAAGTTTCCTTGTGCTTTTTTGATAAATTAATAAATGTTTATTTGAAAATTGAAATGAAAAAAAAACTTTATTTTTTTCTATAGACATATAATAATATCTTATATATATTATTTCAATATTATTGGATATTCTTATATTGTTTTTGATAAGTTTATTTTCTGAATAAACTATTAAAAAATTTTCTAGCTTTCAATGTTATATTAATCTAATTTTTACATGTTATATATAATTTAAAAAATTTTATTCAGAATAGGTTATATATTATATATTATAATATTCAATTATAATGAATAATTCAATTATTCAAATAAAATTAATATCAGGAGAAAAATATATAACATATTTATAAATGTTATTTTTGAAAAATATTCTAAAAAACATAATATATATTTACATAAAAATTCGCAATTTATTTATTAATATTTTTTTTTTATTTTTTAAACTTAGGATATTTAAATTTTTCATTTTTTTTTTGGAAATATTGCAGTGTCGCAATATCTAATACGAATCGCTAAATTGTAGTTCCAATAAGTCTTGCTTCAATTTTCAATTCTTTATTTAAAAAAAAGTACATTGTATATTTCTATTTGTATATTTCTATTGATTAAGAATGAGTATTCATCTTTCTTTTTTCATATACATAGTATTCATACATTTATTCGAAATTCTTTTAAACATTTTTAATCTTATATCTGCAAATAATTTTGATCATTTTTGCTGAAATTAGATCAGTCTTAATAGTTTTACTAAGCTTCAATGTAACAGCCGCACATCTCTAATATTCTTCATTTGTTAATAATGGATAAATTATCATTTTCGTCATTCTTAAAGATGAGTTTTTTAATTGTTTTTTTTTTTGATTATCGCAAAAACAATAAAAAACAAACAAAATTCTAATTCTATTTTAATTATATTTGTATCATTGATAATAATAATTGAGCATTTTTGAGTACGTTAAATTCTTCCATTACCATTTTATAGGATCCTATTAAGATCACAGATCACAGATCAATATGCAAAAATCATTTTTTCTTGTTTTTAAGAATAGATTCTGTAAAATTAATTTTTAATATTCTTGCGTTTTATCTTTTGTTCTTTGTTTTTTTTTTGTAACAAGAATTTTCTTAAGTTTTGCCATTTCGATCAATAATTAGAATATTTATTTTTCTTATGCAGTTTTTTTTAGATAGAAGAACATAAATTGTAATATTGTTTAATAAATGTAATCTCGCAAACTTCGTTATTAAAAAAAGGTTTATTAATTCGTTATATATATTATTCATATTCTAATAAACAATTGTTCATCCACATTTTTAATATTGTAATAATTATCTTTAATTATCTTTAATTCGTTTATTTCGTTAAATCTCATAATAGTGATCAGAAATAAATAAAGTCTTTGTGACATCAATCTAACATGAAACAAAATTTTTCCATTTTTATTAAAAATTATATTATATAGTTATTAAGTATTATATTATTTGAATCCTATACATTTATTTCTATCTATTATGGACAATTTGTGTTTATTAAATTAATAACATTTAAAGCATTAAAAAGAATCAAGTGCTAAGAATAAAAAAAAAGAGATATATACGTATATATTTAAAAAATTCATATTCATTTTTTTAAAATTATATAAATAAATATAAATAATAAAAATTGCATTGTAATTTAAATAATTTAAATTGCGCTTTAAAAATATTAATTCGATTTAATTTAATCATTTTTATTTTCGTCATCTTTTTTCTTATATTTATATTTTTTTTGGCGTATAAATTTCTAACATTTTTTTCTCATTTTTTTATAAAATATTTTATAAAAACAAAAAAAATTTTTATAAACTATGCTTAAAATATTTTGCAAAATAAAATAAAAATTTTTAATTTATTTTTTTTTTTTGATTTATTATCCAATTAATAACAATTTTTTTATATTACATAATTATTATAAAAAAAATTGATAAATTTTTAATAATTCCAAATGATACTATTTGATCAACAGCATTTGAAGTAAGAAAGATATGAAAATTTTATACAACATGTTTTGACTTTAAAATTGAAATAAAAAAAGAATAATTTGAATATATATAAGAAAAAATAATATATATAATATATATTGAATATATATATTATATAATATGAATATATTGAATATAATATTATATATATTGAATATATATAAGAATAAAAAAATTATATTAAAAACATATCTTTTTTATTATTTTAATCATTTTCTTGCTTAGTTCTCTTCATTTAATGAGATACTTATTAGAAATTTTCATAATCGTTGACCGAATTCCAAATCTTTAAGTGTTCTATAAAGGAATTTAATTTTTACTTAGTATACTTAATATTATATGTAATATTTATATGTATTTTTTTTTTGGTGATCATAGAATCAAGATTGTGTAATTTCATACTCTGAAATGATCTAATTTCTATCTGGTTATCAAATGCTTCCTAAATATTCTTGCATATTTTCTATCTTGAAGTTCAATAAAAAGATTTTCAGTTTCAGCTTTCTTAATTCTGATAACATTCTGTATTTTATATTTTTTACCTAATCTTTATTTTCGTACATTATATTTTAAATATCATTTTCTTCAAATATAAAATATTTCGAATAATATCTATGTTACAATTAAACCGACAATATATATCTATATAATATGCAAAAATATTGTTTTAGTAATCTAATTAAGTTATAGACAATATAAAAAAATTAACTCTGATATACGAAATATATACGAAAATCGAAAAAATAAAAATACCGTATATAGTTTATATATTTTATATATTTTATATAATAATTGTGATTCACATTTATTTTTACATTAATTTCATAATTAATAACATAAAATATATGCTGATTTCTAAGATCTAATATATTACATAATAATACATATGTACATTTATATATTTATATATTTTTATATTTATTTTTTCTTTATAATTAATATTCATGTAATTAATACACGCGCTTGCTTTACACACAGTAGCTTATGTTAGATAAAGCAAAACAAAAAGATTATTATGTTACACTATCGTTACATACTCACTCGTTTTATCTAATATAAATTTAAATTATTTATAATTTAATAAATAAACTTCAACCAATATTTTTGTGTAATTTTTAAATTTGTTTTAATTTCTCACTCTACAAAGAAATATATTATAAACTTTATATTATAAATTATATAACAAATAATTATAAAAAAAAACATCACAATATATATTTCTTGATATTTTTAACAATCTGAAATTCTTTTGGATATTTAATACATACAATTTAATATATAAAGAAATAATCATATACATGTGCGCGCACGTTTATTAATTGATGTACATGAATAATGAAATATGAATATTATATATATATATATTCATATAAAATATATAAAATATTCATATTTCAGTTTTTTAATAAATTGGTTATTTTATATTGGTCAACATTTTTAGATTACAATAAATAGAATAGAATACAATAAATAGTATAATTATTTTTTATATAATTATTACAGTTATTTATTAAATATATCATTTATTTTCATAATTTTGGTATATGCACATTTGTACGTATACATTATTTAGGTAATTTATAATATAGATATATATAAAATAAATTCAAACTTATTTATATTTAGAATCTATAAAAGAGAGATTGTTATATATAACAAAACATTAAAATTAAATGTAAAAAATTTTATATTATATATTATGTTAATCTTTAATGTAAACTGAATAATTGATGGCCATGTTTATGAAAGAAATATTCAAGTTATTTAGATTTCTATTAATGTTGTTATTATAGTTTCTATTATAATTTTATAATATTATAACTTATTATAATTTTTGAGTGTAACTATATAATCAAAATAAATAAAAAATTAATGAATAAACAGAAAACATAAAATACATGACACAAAAAATCATTTTTTTTTTAAAAATATCTTACACGTTTATATCATATAAACATGTTATAAATATTATATAAATTATATTATGCTTAAATATATAAGTTATATTATATAAAAGATTGTATGTCTTCAATTGTTTTCGTCCATTATTTAATTATATAATTATCTTACAAATTTTTTCCAATTTTTTATTAAGTTTTTCTTCTTTCTTAATTAAATTTGTTTCTTGACATAATATTATTAAATCAGTTTTTCTTACATGTTCTCTTAAAGCCTCTGAAATTTAAATTTACTATAAATTTATAA